GTAAATAATCCAAAGTTCTTTAGTAGTTTTGTTATTATTTAAAAAAAAAATAGTGCTGGATACAAAAGTAGAGCATAAATATAATTATTTATTTAAAAATATGATTCCAACACGCTACATAAGAGTTCTCATGTTTCAAAACAAGAGCCGAAAACTGCAATATAATTATTTGAATTAATTTTAATTAAAGTAACAAGCTCTGTTCCATCTTCAAGTGAAATTTTTTTGGAATAACTTATTCCTGAAATTTACGTGTTTTATAAGAATATTCATTATTAAAATTAAAATTACTATGGTAACGGCTAGAGCAATTGTTTAAAGAAAAGGGGCGTAAGGTGTTAATAATTTGTATCAATATCTCAGTTGCATTCACAGACGTCAAGTCAGGGTAAGGTTGGGGTGTCTAAATTTAAAGTGGAAGATGATATCGTCTAGTCTGGTTAAGTGGACTATGGAGATTTATTATTTTTTTTATTTTATATATATATATATATATATATATATATATATATATAGATAGATAGATAGATAGATAGATAGATAGATAGATGATACTAATAGTAATAAGCGGTTGGTATAAAACCTCGGATATCAAATCAAATTTGCACCCGAGGAAAAAACTGGAAAAAAAATAATTAGAAACATCCGAACAGGACCCTAAAAATTGTCCGGTGCATTAAATTTTTAGTCCAAAGAAAAAACAAGCAAGTTAATAATAAAGCTATAACATAGAGTGCTTAATACTCTAAGTAGAGCTTGGATAAATGAAGATCCGTTTAGAGAATCCCAAGTAGTTTTTCCTCGCTCTTTTGGATATATATATATATATATATATATATATATATATATATATATATATATATATATATATATATATAATGAAAATGAGTTTGTTGCATTCCAGATAAACTGACATCTGCCTTTTCAAAGAAAACTTTAAAAGTAACTATTAGCGAAAAATGAATAAAAATATTGTTGTGTTATAAATTAACTACAAATAAACGGATTTAGCCCCCAAGGATATTAATGCTGACTTCGTTGAAATATTAAAGAGTGACGTTCGGTTTTTATCAAGAGTTCAAAAGTGGGCAGGTGAAATCGGATGTAATAGGGAGAGATTTGAAAATGATCTAATGTCGGAACGTCATCACCACCGAGAAAATTATTGGTCGTGTACACCTCAATGACAGGTGACTGATTATAAATCAAACAGCCAACACCGTTAGCCTATGCTCTGAAAAAGTTGAGAATATTCTGCACACTGAAATGGCTTAATGAAGGTCTCTACTCAGTGGATGTCACGTCTTCTGATATCTGATCAAAAGCGTACCAGGCTGGTCACATCACGGGAAAATCTGACAGCTGGTTTTCTTGAACGTTACCTAAATCATGATGAACATAGCTGAAGTGAAAAATACACCACCACACTGGCC